ATCTGAATATATCATCGTTCACAGAATACTGATTTGTTTTTTCTTCTTCTTTATAGTCATGGGTTCATCATACAAACCTGAAGTTTAAAACATAACACATTTATTGCTTCTGCTCATTTGAGAGATTCGATTTTATCTTATGGACATTCACCTATTCAAAGACAAAAACTGTGGATCAAGGTTGAAAAGATCATTGAAGGTAATTCGAATGTAAGAACTAAAGTTACAGAATCACGTGGTGAAAGTTTTAAAGTTTGGGAATGGATCGGTTTGTCCTTTTTTCAAATCTATCTCTGTTTCTCTTTATGATTTTAACTTATTATTTTTTTGATTTTCATTGGGTGGGGTTTTTTCTAGGGAGTTATACGGGTGATTTGAATTTGAATTCATCACCTGTTGGGAAATATTCGGCTGGATCAAATCAAAAGTCAGTTGGGAATGCAAAGGGAGAGCCAAGACTGCAAGAAAGTCAATTGAAGAAGACACCTTTCCTACGTGTCGGTAAAGAGTCAAGTCGTAGACGGCTTGGGTTTGTGATTGAACAAATCGCACGTGGTGGACGAAGCGATAGGATCTTGAATCCACAGAATGAGCGATACTACAGCAAATTTGAACTGTTCTAACATTGATCTTAACAATCTCAGACTGGTCGTGAACCTTCGGAACTTCCACAAATCGATTATGAGATGCTTGAGGGAAGTTTGAAGATGATTGAATGGCAGAAGAGAAAGTGTCAGTAGCAACAGCTATGAACTTGGGTGAGTCTGATCTTTTCCTCTCCTATATGCTTGACAGGATCAGTGTAGCTGATTCTTTTCTGATTGATTAGCGTATGACACCATCCTACAACGTAAGCAAAAGAATCCGTTGTCGGCTTTCTTGCTTTTGCATGAACAACGTGATACGACGACTAAACCTCAGATGGCTCTGGTCATGACTCGGGCTGAGGCCGCAAAGTAAGTACAGAAATGCGATTAAGATGGAAATTCTCTAGATCCGATTGACAAATTGTGTTTTTTTCAATAGTGTGCCGGTATATACAATCGGTTGGGGCAAAGTCCATAGTCCCTCATGTCTTTGGCAACTTACAAATCATGCTGGCGGTACTTATACTTATGACAATGATCTGTATGAGATCAAGGATACACTTACAGGCTTTATAGGTGGCATGGTGAGCTTGACCCAGATCAATTGAAAAGATCCATACGTTTCTGATATCGTGCTTTTCAATCCACAGATCTTGGTCGGAGCAACCAACGCCAAACTTCAGATCAGTGTACCATAACATCGATGGTTCAAGATGAAAAAAGTCACAGGTGTGATGACCTTTTTATTGTTAGCCAATGGACAACATGTGGATATCGATTTGGGTGAAATGTGATATGGTGAACGAAGAGAAATTTTAATGAAGCGAAGATGAGAGATGGTGCAGCTGGGCATGATGCCTCATCACCAGGCGGAGGTCCAAATAGCCTTGGGTTTACTGGTACAGATGCATTCTTTATGAATAGTGTGGGAGGTTTGAAGGAGATTGGCCGCGATGGAGGATTAGGAGCACATGATTTTTATGATGCAGAGTTTGATCAACCAAGTGATGATGTACCTTGGTTGTAAGTCGATGCTTTGTATCGAGATCCGATTGCAGCCAAGACTGCAAGCAGGCTGGTAAGACCAGTTCTGCTGAGCATCACCATTGTTCCACCTCAGCCCCTCGCCAATACTAGAGCATCTACCGGTAATGAACAAGGGATTGTAAGGCAACGGATCAAGCTCCTAACCTCTGACTCACTCACTCAAGCTTTAGTCTTAGTATCACATCGTATGGAGAGGCAGGCAGGTTGTCTACTCGAGGAAACTCGGCACATTGTTCATACATTACTTGGTAATATACATCCTGGTAGTGAACGACCAAGGGTAAGTAGTCTAAAAAGAAAGAAAGCAGTAGAACAAAGACCATGAGAGAAGTCCTAACAGGATGTTTAGAAGATATTGAAACAGTGTTAGTTGTAATAGAAGATTTAGTCAGGATCATAGAAGAAGATGATGAAAATGAAACCAACATAGCTAGACATCAATTTGATTCATATGAACAAAATTTAGCTGCATAACAAGCAAATGTACTTGAAAGCCAATCATCTTGGACAGGTAGAACTTTGACTAAGAAAAGTTTTTGGAAAGCTGATCAATCTATGATGTTTTATTTAAAATGTATGCATTTGACTTGATATGTTTGGCTGATTGATTGATTTGTTCATTAGGCATTACATTATATATACAAAGATAGTGTGGAAGGTTTTGATTGTGTTTTGAAAGTGTATATATCTGATACCTTTTATATTGATACATTTTTTAAGAGGAATAGTTCAGGATGAATGATTTATATAACACAGGTTTTTTTATACTTTGTTTTGATTTCCATAGTCTTCTGTTTTTGTTTTTGTGATTCCGTCATTTACAACACCTTTTTTTGTTTTTGTTTTTGTTTTTGTTTCAATGTTTGCTTTTATTTTCTGTTTATTTACTTATTATTTTGTTTGAAATTAAGAATACTGATTTTAAATTTAAAAATGATCCTGATATGTATATGTTGAATTGTATGAAGTGTTAAACGTGCAGCAAAGCTTACTGTGAATCGGGAAGCGGATAAGGATGGGGATGAGGGCATTGAAGAAGATGATGAGCCTGTAGGAGTTGATGATGAGGCTCTGGACATTGGACCTGGTGCAGAGCAAGAAGGTGGTAGATCAGGAGCAGGAGAGAGATTACAATCAGAAATTCAAGATGGGTCTGAAGAAGGCTCGGATGATGATCAAGACATGGCACTACACCAAATGTAATCTTTACCCGGCGGTAAAGAAAACTACTGACATAGAAAAGTCCTGAGGCAACAGGAAGAGAGCTAAAAATCTGAAAAAATATGCACCTTGTTCCTAGATGTTGGGGCGTCATGATGAGTATTTTTTTGTATTTTACACGCAGATATTGGTTTATGTACTAACAATAAACGCTGAAAATCATCAAAAACTCACATGTAACAATACCTGAAATTTGGGTCATGAGTATGAAGACAATATTTTGTGGTCTAAAAACTTCAATAACTTTTGCAATTCTGCTCCAAATAACTCGATTTTTGGTTCATTCAAAAGCTGAACTATTCTCCTTCACACTTCATAATGTTAGTAAGGTGCCATCTAGTCATTTAAACACTCTACATATGTTCAAACAGTTCTGCATGAATTGCTCTGTAGGATCTTTTTTAGACCAGCTACAGATGTGATGTCTCAATGAAAAATGTAGAGGAAAGGCTCACCTTTTTAATGCACTTCAAATCGAGTGATTTGATTCAGAACTGCAAAAGTTATTGATGTTTGAAGATTCCAAAATCCTGTCTTCAAAGTCAAGGGCCAAATTTCAGGTATTGTTACAGGTGGGTTTTTGATGATTCTCAGCCTTTATTGTTAGTACATTAACCAATATCTGTGTGTAAAATACAAAAAAATACTCGTCATGACGCCCCAACATCTAGGAACAAGGTGCATATTTTTTCAGATTTTTAGCTCTCTTCCTGTTGCCTCAGGACTTTTCTATGTCAGTAGTTTTCTTTACCGCCCGGTAAAGATGACATTTTGTGTAGTGTGGGTAACAAGAAGGTTTCTAGACCTTCAGCAATTGAAAAGCAAGGGTGATTTCTGATTATATTTCTTCAGATGAAGAAGAGAAAGAGGAAGAATCTACACCAATCAACAAGAAAATCCAAGTCAAAGTAAACAACAAGCAGTGAAAAGATCAAAAGTAGCTACTAAGAATCCTATGACTATTAAATAAGGAAGATCAAATGAAATTTTAGAAAGTGAATTGTCAAATGGAACCACAACAAATAAAGATCATCCACATTCAACAAAAAGAAGAAGTCAAAGTAGTCAACTTGGATGTGTTTCAATTCCAAATAATTCACCTTGTAATTCAATTAATCACTCATCTTCTTAACAAACTCGATTAAATCACAGATCTCACTTGTTTCTGTTATGATCCCTAATTCCAGGAGGAAAAGAAGTGATCAGAATGATAATGAGATGATGATGAAGTAAATGAAACAGTTGAATTTGGAATTGAAGAAAGTGAAGGTAGTAACAAACAAAAGGTTGGGAATGGAAAAGCAAAAGGAAAGGGAGTTCAAAGGAGCGATGATCAAGAAGAGGAAGATGATGATGATGATGATAATAGATCTGGAATTAGTTTGGCTGAAGCTAAACGTTGAGATCATAGAGTAGTAAAGAAATAAAAAGAGGAAAAAAATGGGTTCATGGCTTTACGCTTTGAGGGGGTTTGTCGAATTTATTTTTGTTATATTAGACTTGTTCAAATATCAAAAAGAAATGTAGAGGAAAAGATTGAGAGCGCAAAAATTACAACTTTGTTATTGCATACAGCCTGTGCATGGAGTGTATGAGATGTACAAAGCGAGAAGAAGCGAGTCAATTTTTATTTGACTCTCAGATTAGAAAATGGAAAAAAATCTTGGTTTTTATCCCGTAGAATTTATTAGTGTTTCATGATGTACTGGAAAAGGTAGTAGTTTATTCTTATATAAAGTATATATATTTATAGCATCTAATGACACATAGATTTTTTTTTGTATGTTTCATTGATCTTTTTGAAAAAAGGGAAAAGAGGATGTGATTTTATATAGTTCTTATTGAAAAAATTGGTATGCTTGGTATTTTGATTGAGTTTTCAAAAAAAGAAGTGATGGTATAATTGTAGATTTGGGTTTGGATGAAGTTTTAATATGATATGATGTGATATAATTCTTTCTGAAAAGAACCTAATGAGAACAAGCTTGACTTTTCCATTCTTGCACTTTATGGGAGTGCAAGTCCAGGTTTAGCTGAACCAATTCTTATTCAACAATGTACACTCTTCCATTTCCTCCACAATTTTTGAAGATATCAGAATTCAAAGGTTTTTTTGAATTCGGTTTGTGAGCCTGAGGCAAATCTCATGTAGCGCTTGAAGTTGAACAAGTGAGAGTCATTCCAGGGATTATCCAGAGCCGTGCCTCAAAATATTACATACATCCGCGGCAGAGACAACTTCAGGTAGCATTCAATTTCAAACTCAATGAGCTGTAAGCCAAACTCTTTTCATCAGATGAGTGAGTACCATCTACAGAGGTTCATCACACGTTGTGTTTGGGCAAGTGATTCATGAGGAAAAATGGGCCTGGCAACTGGATTTTACTCACACCAACTGGTTTGCAAGACTGCTTTAATATGCCTCAAGGCTTGTCATCTTGATTTATATTGCAGGTTAGAATAATGGTCACAGCCTTAGATAGTTGCAACTTTGTAAAACCCAAGTGATATTTCAGGTGAGGAATCAAATGCTAAGCAATTCCTTTATTATGCCGCAATGATCACGCAACACAGTTTGACACCCCTTGAGATCTACTCTGATTAAAATAGGTATATAATTATTATTCTTTCAACATTGTTGTACCCCGCCTTTCTTGAGGTTTATCACCAGAGTAATAGACTGACTTGGAATTTCTCTGAACTATCAGAGGAGCTTCTATCTCCATATGTTCATATCCTTGGGAACCAAACACTGTATAGATCCCCAGACTCACAAGAACACAAAAGTAAATTGTCTCAAACTCAAAGACATCATTGTGGGTTTGGCAGGGTGGGTGATCATTGCCACAACTCAACATTAGGGCTTGGTGAAGCAGGAGCAATATAACTGGCAACTAAGCTAAGTAAATGGAACATGGGAAGCAGTGGGAGCTGAATAATTTAACTAAATAAAGCTGTACACTGCCATGGATCAAAGGAACTACATTTGCACTACCACATGACAGAGGAAGCAGGTCAAAACAGGTATCTTGAGTGCAATGCCACAGGCCACTATTCAGTGGTTGCACCTACCTAAAAATACAAATCCCTAGCCGCGGCGCCCGCCGCTGATTTGCTAGTTCCCTTCTACATCCCATTATTACGAGTTATTACCTTATCTTCCCTTATTAGTTAAATTCCCTTATATATTCCCTTAAATATATGAAAGTTTCCCTACTCGTCGAATCATTAGTAGTTACTTTATTCCCTTTACCTTTCCCTTAAATTCCCTTATATATTCCCTTAAATTCATGAAAGTTTCCGTACTCGTTGATTCATTAGTAGTTATCGATTATCCTTTCTTAATTTGATCTATTTCTTAAACTCGTCTTGTGTTCTTTTCTTCAAGAATTCTTACTCAATATGTTTCATTATCGCTCGTCGTTTAGTACTTTTATCATGTCTCAAGGCAACACTAGCGAGGTTCTTTCACGAACCACCACTGTTGATTTAACCTCTGAGCCGGATGCTGCTAATTCCACGATTTCGGATGCCGCCCTTCGTTCAGCAAGCTATGTATGGATTCACTTTGTCAAGCTACAAAACCGTAAGATCAACAAATGTCGTGTTATTCTTCCTGACGGAGCCACCTGCGGCAAGGAATTGAAGCGCGACAACACCGGAAGTACCAAATTGATGAAGAATCATCTCGAGATGAAACACGGAATCCGAGATGCCAATCTTCCAAAACAAACTGACATACTTGCTGCATTCAAGAAAGTGAAGACTGATCATATGGTAAGTAATCTGTCTTTCCGTTGACCTCAAAATAGTTCACTGACCGTTTGTTTGTTTATTAGCGTGTTCTTGATGCTACTAGCCTTATGACAGCAGTCTCGTACTTCCTTGCCGACTGCGACCTTCCTTTCTCTGTTGTCGATCAAAAATCCTACCGAGAACTCTTGACTCTGTGCAATCAGCAAGTTAATGGCATGCTTGTTAAAAGACACTCTATTGCTCAACACACTTGCAAGGTTTATTATTATTATGAAGAATACATCAAAAAGCAGTACTTGTCCGTTTCCCCAGCTATAGCTATTACTCAAGACGCTTGGACATCACCCAACAATGTCCCCTACATGTCACTCACTGGCCATTTTATCACGAACGACTGGAAGTTGATGGACATCACGCTTGGTATTGCCAAAATCAAGGGTAAGATTTCTTTTTAATTTTTATATTTCACAATTTCACTCGTACATTCCTTGAACTGACTCATCACTTTCTTTTCCCAGGTGCTCATGATGCGAACACGTTTGCCAATATAATCCACGAGTATTTGACCAAATTCAGCCTTACTCGAAAGTTGACTGGTATGACAGCAGACAATGTTGGTACAAACGCTGCCATTGGTCGAAAGCTCAGCACTTTACCTGAAATAACATTTGATCATACGACTCAAGTCCACGGATGTGTCGCGCACGTCATCAATCTAGCAGCCAAAGAAGGCCTCAAAGAATTCGGCGAAGTTACTGACTTTGAAGAAGGGCAACATCCATCTAACTCGATGGACGTGCGCAACCTTGTAGACCCTCCGGATGTTCATCTATTTGATCTCAAAACGATTTATGCCCGGTGCCATGGACTCGTCAAGACAACCCGGTCCAGTCCCCAGCGTGCTCAAGCTTTTGCCAACGTTGTCACAATGGTTCAACAGCTTGCTGACACACTTGACAATGACGATACTCCTCGCGTCGTCGATCCTTGAGACTTGGACGCGGTTGATTACATGATGCAGGACTTGAACCACGAGGAACCTCAAGCTACGCCAAAACCTCGTGACGGTGCTGCGAATCGATTGGTGCCTGATGTCCCCACCCGATGGAATTCCTCTTATCATATGTTCCGAAGGATGCTCCGATTACGTCAAGCTTGTGATGAATTCTGCAAAGCCCAAGATTTCAAAAAATTTGCTCTTTCACCCGCTGAGTGGGACTATGTAGAACAGATGTGTGATTTCTTAGAACCACTTAGTGCAGCAACTGAGATGCTTTGTCGATCCAAATTCCCAACAATGCAACAAGTAGTGCCTATGTACATTGTGGTCATTCAAGGACTCAAATCGGTCAGTATCATCTATTCTCTGCCCATCTTCACTCTATTTGAAATATTTCAACTAATGATAATGATTTCATATCACAGGTGGCTCAGAAATACGATCACAATCAATTAATTCCTGCGTCGAAGAAGATGATTGTGAAGTTGGAAGAGTACTTCAAGAAGGTCCTTTCAAAACCAGGCCCAATCTGTGCCACTATTCTCGATCCTCGTCTCAAACTTCAATACTTTCAAGTAAGTCATGCCGCTATTCTCATTTCATCTATTTAGTATGTACTGATATAACTTTCAAAATAGGACCGAGAATTTATTATGAGTGATTATGATCTACTCTTGTCAGACATCAGAGGGATGTTTGAAAACAAAGCGAGGAAGTTTGAGGATGTTGTACCCGAGGTTCAAGAAACATCAACCAGAAGGCCTACCGCTTCAACTCATCAGTACTTTGATGATGCGATATACGGAGATCGCAACAACAATCGTGATCGATCTATTGCTACTGAGATCAGTCGCTATTTGTCCGAGCTCACCGAACCACGAGAGTCAGATGTTTTGGCCTTTTGGAAAGCACGTGAGGACATCTATCCTGCGCTCGCCAAGATGGCCATGATCTTTCTAGCGATTCCAGCCACCAGTTCTCCCTCCGAGGGGGTTTTTAGCAAGACTAAGAACATCTTAGGCCCTCAACGTGCTTCCCTCTCTTCTCTTAATGTGGAGGTGCTTTTGTGCCTTAAAGATTGGTACCGTTCCTTTGGTCCTTTATTTATTGTAGATCGCGAGGAGGAATCTTGAAATTCTGCTTTCCAGCAACTAGTTTTTGTTTTTTCTTTGTTATTTTCACTGTCTCCTGCCTGTCTTCCGCTCTGCTGTTAT